CGACTTTTTTGACTTACTCGGATTCTTCCTCGTGGGAGGTACAATCCCACAAACCCCATAGGCACGAAAAGGAAGCGTATACAAACCTCTACCAGCCAATTCGACGAGGCATGAAAATGCCAAAGAATACAAAAGATGTTCAGTGATAGATGAATATGGGAGAGCACACTGTGCCGGTTCTGCTCATAACAGCAAATGTTGGTTCCGTCTTTGAAAATGTGAGTTTTTGTACCAAATTTACTGGTTTCTAAATTGAAAACAGTTTCCCATCGGAAATGGAGAAGATGTCGTTACATGTGGGGCATCAAGTTCCTACAGGATTTGTCAACGGATCGTTGACTTTTTCTTGCGAAGAACATGGTAGAACACAGGCTTGACCGCTGAGATTTTTTCTGTGAGCCTAGTTTATGCGAAGATTATTGTTTAAACAAGTGTGAAAAGCGAGGTATTTTGTTTTGCTTTTTTATCGAGTTTGTTTACAAAAGGAGGCATTCGGTTTGTATTCCCTTGTTGGCAATTATCGACAGCTTTGAAATGTTAAGTTCTTTCTTCTGTTTCATTTGTAGCGAGATGGTCTTGAGAAAGGCTGGATTCGTGAAACAGTCGGTGTAAGTATTGGTCAACCTGGAAATAAAAGGTGTAAAAAGCTCACTCGGCCTGATTGAGCTGTAAGTCGAATGTCTTTGGAATTTCCATTAATTGACATTTTGGGGGTTGTTATCGGCAGACAATAACAAGACTTAAACCAAAGTTTGTGGCACTGCACTTTCAAGAAAGTGGAGGAAAAGAATCGGGTGAGGAATCACTAGAAAATGTGAAGGACTTTACGCGGTAGGTGTATGTTTATACTCAGAGCTGGTACAGCTTAATTGCTCTTTCTTTTCATGATGAAGCAAGACATTGAAAATATGTGATTAAACTGCCATTTCTATTTCAGTGTCTTCCTTGGTCAGTCTCAACTGAAAGAAAAATTTGACAAAGTGCGAGCATGGTTCGATCAAGATTACCATAAACAAGAGCAATATACGGTAGGAAATTCCAGATAAACTTTCATACTAAGCTAACTGTAACTGATCTTAACAGTTTAATCATACATGTACAGCTTATTATTTTCTACTGTTCCAGTATAAATGCTATCTATGACAAAATTCTCGATCGCGATTGGTTCTCTGCACACCTATTTGCCACATAATCAGCACGCGATCATGTGGGTGTCCAATTACAGGTATCCAATTTGAACTTTTTGTGATTGGATGCCTGTAATTGGATACCCATGTAATTTGCACATCAATAATTATGCATGCTTTAATGGCTTCCTTCACAATGTTTCCATTTTCAAAACTTATGAAGAATTCTACAGAAGTTTCCACTCAAAAGAATTTCTAAAAAGACATTTTAATTCTGAAATTTGTTACAGATACGATTAATTAGTAATTGGACCTTGTGTCGCACAATTCAGGGAGTAACTGTGCTCATAATTCAAATCGGCCTCGCACAATTACTCCCTGAACTGTGCTCCACTTGGTCCGATTACTAGTACTAGTCATATCTATAACAAAATTCTTGATCATGATTGGTTCCAGGGTCCGAAATTGCAACCAGCTGGTCTCCAATGTGTCTAAAAATTGAGTGTTGGTGACCAGAATTTTGAGGCTAGTCCCCATTAGGCAACTAACTTTTAGTGTCTTGAACTGACGTTCAAGGAAGAAAAACTTTGTGTTTGGTTTCAAGCAAGAAACTTCTTTCAGTACCTGCCTAAAAAAGTTAATTTCAGACCCTAGGTTCTCTTCATGCCATTTCTTGGGAGAGGGGTAATGTTATAAAATTAATGTTAAGTGATAGAAAGAGCATTGTTTTTTAGTGGGGTTTAGCTAGAGATCCTGTGAAATTTGTGTGACTGTGTATTGCATGTAAAGACAAAGACTGTATTAAATGTGACATTATTTTTAATAAGTTTCAGTAGTTCATCAACAGTGTAGAAACGAAAATCAATTTAGTGCACCAAATAGGTAATTTTCATGATGGTGTCATTTGACTACAACTACCAGAATCCTTCACTTTTTCTGTTTCTTATGCTAATTAGGGTAATTGTTATTTAAGCGCCACTGGGGCTTCAAAATTTAAATAATAAAGAGTAAACAAAAGGAATTCTGGTAGTTAAATGACGACAACGTGCAAATTATCTGCTATTAAAGTAAAAGAAAAGAAAGAGGCAATGAACACTGTATTGTAACAGGCATCGGACTTTGCTGGACACTGTCCTTTATTAATAGCCCTGTTGTCATTATTTCCATCATCAGGCTCTTGGTTGTATATATCTGGTAAGCAAGTCCTTAGAGGATGCATCACTCTGGAATTTTGAAGGTATTAGCAAGAGACTTGTATTTATTTTTATATTTTCATACATATAAATGTCAGATGTATGGAGTGTAATATTTTCTTTAACAAATG